AATATTTAGTGCTTACATACAAAAATAGGAATAGGACCATATTATGTCAGGAATTAACACAGTTCTATTAAATGACGAATGGACAGAAGTTAAAAATTAATAAATACAGATTTCAGTGCTGATATAAAAGTTTTCATGAAATTTTAGCTCTTTCATTTTGCATTTATTTTTTAAACCGTCCCAAAACAAAGATTGATCGCAGTACTCTCAACTAACGGATACTCTGTCACATACCGGTATTGGGACTTGTTGCTGTGTGGCCACTAAACCAAGAGTGGTTCATGAAAGAAAGAAAGTATTATAATTAGTAAATATAAATAAACAAATATGTTGGGACATTAACATACAGCACCATCTAGTTCCATTGTAAGTTACGACGCTTGTGTTATGGAAACCAGATAGTTGATACACTACACAATATATAACTTTAAATACATCGATATGATAAATATATAATTCGTGTGTTAGTCCCGTGATCGAAATACGACAATAACTATTTTTTTATCTATATTTTGTACGGCAAAAAAAGATTGCGACGAATTGAGAGCCTCCTCTTTTTTGGAAGTCGGTTGAAAATGGGCAAACGAGCAAACGATCCACCTGGATCGATGGTAAGTGGCTATCGTTACTCATACATAGACATTTGTAACATAAGAGGAATTGAAGACACTCTTAAAGAACCCCATATTATAGCGTTCAGGAAAACCTCAGGATAACACTATAAAGCTCATCAATAGCTACTAAAGAAAAAAATCGGTTGACAAATAAAGGAGAAAAATGTACTGAGCTGTTTTGTCCTAGCATATTTATATATCTATTGACTAGCGACTCACCCTCGCTTCGCTCGGGTTCGTCCCTAGCTTGCTTCCCCATACAAACTTTCATCTCCATTCTCACCCCCTTCAGGCAGGATTTCTGGGATAAAAACTATTTCACTCACTTTTCATATCTTGCGATTAAAAAAATCTTATTTTAGTAAAAACAATTTTTTTTTAATTTTCTTTTATACAAAACTTCCTGACAATAACAAACGCAAAAAACAAAAGAATTATCTAATTAGGTGCAGTCGATCCGAAATGATGCGCGTACATACATTTCTGTGATTCATTTTTATTTATATAGATAAGTTTCTACTCCTTGCCCGTTTCCCAAGTTACTTGGGATCGGCGCAGTAAATCTTCCTCTTGCACTCTCCCCTATTACATGTCATCTCGTTATTCACCCCTTTCTCTTAGATGTCCTATCTCACACAATCTAACCATCTTTTCTTCAGTCTCCCTCTACCTCTCCATCTATCTACATTAATTGTCATCACTCTTCTCGTCACATTCATCTTCCCATGACCATACCAACTTAGACGATTTCCGTTCAACGTCTCTGTCACCAGTGCTACTTTTAAAGTTCCTCTTCCTTTCTTTAAGATAAGCATTTGCTTTTAAATAATAGTTCTGTAGTACATCTCACGCACAGTTTATTATCTATTCCAACATCTTTCAAAAAGGAAGAATTTATCGATCGACGAATATGCGAAATCTTCGCGAATATTGTACCTACTTTCTTGATTTTCACATAATGAATATGACAGATGTGGGCTCCATATAGGTACTAAATAAAAATACAATTTTAATGTTTAAATTTTAGCTTATTACTTAAATTTTAAGTTGGTGTGTTTTTTGTTAAAAATAATTATACTATTTTATCATCTTATCATCTTTTCCAGCTTATAAAACATTTGAATAATCAATTAATATCAAAACTATCAAAATGATCCTGCAATGTCGATAATCATTGATATGTTAAACCTAGGACCAAGTAAATATTTGGAACGCCAATATAAATATTAGCCCTATACGAGAATTGAACCCAAAATTGTCCCCACTGTAAACAGTATCTTTATCTTTTACGTATATAAAAATAATTTAATAATATGTGTAGATAAATATGAGTAAATTAACACAAAACCAAAAAATGTAAGAAAAAAGCAGTTAAAACTTATTAGTACATTAATATTTGGCTACTTGAAACAGAAAAATTTTCACCAAAAATATTATAAGTGTAATATGCGTTTAGGATTCTTAAAAAACATATAATATGTATATAAAATATTTTTGTATGATTTGAGGTCACTTCATAAGTTCGAGCAAATGTCAATAGATGGCGTTATATGCATGGATTTGTTTATGATATTTGCATTCAGTGATTCAGTGATAAGTAAAATATACGTATAAATAAGCAAAAATTTATGTACGTAATATATAGTCTAAACAATCTCCTAAGTGAAAAAAAAATTACACTTTCTTAAGATATAAAGCCAATAAAATAACAAGTTAGTACTGTGTATTTAAATTAACACTATTTACAGTGTTGTTTATTCCAGCTACAAATTCAAGAAGTTGTAATTACCGAAATTTGTTTTTTTCTCCAATTTTCGGGCAAATGTCTTCTTTCGTCTTTTGAGGTAAACCAAAACATCCATAGAATATCCCAAATGAGGCCATATTTATTTCTCTATTTTAATATGATAATATTGTTATTGAAATATGATGATGATGAGAATGCAGGTAGATAAGAAGACCGCAGTACTCATAGCCGCGCACTAGCACCGATATCTCGATTGCCGTCACGTGTAAACAATGCTTAACGATGTCACTCGAATAATATATGACATCATGTAGATAGTGAAAATTTGATTCTTCATAAAATGCACTTGTCGACTTATAATTAAAAACTGATAAAAATACCCATGTTTTGTTATAAAAATTCTTTTTTCTGTTCTCTTCATTTGCATTTTTTACTTTGGAATACCATGGATCAAATAGACTTCGCGCGATGCATACTATGCCAGTTTAACAGCAATAAGAATTTTTATAAGATTTTTTTATGGTTTGTATTGAAATTATTTTAATTCAGAATCTGAAATCTCGATATTAAGGATTCGCCCTCAGAGAGGGTCACCCATAGAGGTCGTTAATTAATTAATAATTATATCTTCATTTACCATTAGCAATTGCCGAACTGGTTAAGCAGTTATGAAAATAGCCAGGAATTTTGCTTATCAGATACGGATGACCAGTTTCATTTATGCAAATATTAAGTACTCAGTGCCAAGTAACTTGTAATATTTTAATTTAATTTAGTTTAACATAAATTAATGCCACTCTATAAACCTTTTGCGGATATTGTTTTATTGAAAGAAATATGGACTGTTTAAATTATTTGATTGTATGTCAATATTTTTTAAAATAATATCTTAAAATTCAAGACTATTAAGACAATCTCTACTTTCAGTATCCAAGTAGACTATTCCGAGTGCTTTAATATCTTTAGTTTTTACTTTAATCATTAAAAGTGCAGTTATTCTTAGGTGAAAGTCACTTATACTATGGAGTAAAAATTTACTGTCAGTGCGTCCAATTAAAGAAATCTAATTTTTCATGTTTACGATATTTTTCCGATATTGAATCACCAAACTTTGTATTATATATATACCAGATTTCCAATTTTCCCGTCTATTAGAATTGGAAAAAATAAACTATAGCAAATCAAATCAAAATATACTTTATTCAAATAGACTTTTACATGCACTTTTGAATCGTCAATTTTACATTTTAAATTTAAATTATTTGTCAGTATAGTCAGTCCGTGAGAAATCTACCACCAGCTCGGAAAGCAGTTCTGCTGAGAAGACCCGGTGACAAAATCCAACAGTATCTCTTTTAGAATAATAATTGTGTACAATATTGTAATACAATAATTATTATCTATTTATCCTATGTGAGACCCAACCAGACATTAGTTCCACACATTGATATCAACGAAGTATTCCGTGACAGAATAATAAGCCTTATTCACTAATACATTTTTAATTTTAGACTTAAAGACCGACAGACAGACAGACACGAAATCAATCTATTGATTTTTTTCTAAGTTCTTCTTACAACGCGGCAATTCGTGCATTCGATTCCAGCTACAACCAATTTTTATATGGACCATGCAAATAGTGTCTGAAATATCCAATACGAAAGCGAAGAGATATTAGGATTCTTGATTCTCTCCATACAAATGCTATATCTGATGTTTTTTACTTACAAATGTAATATTTACTCTACTTATGAACAAACTTACAAAGTCAACATCAGCTCCTTATAACGTCCCACTTCTGAACACGGGTTTCTGCACATGTCTTTCGAAAACTTGCTAGGTTTTATTTGACATGCAGGTTTCCTTACAATGTTTTCCTTCACTGTAAGACAAGTGGTAGTGGAATACGATTCGCATATGAAAATATCAGAGGTGTGAGACCCGGGATTTGAACTCGCTTCACTCGGTTTCCTAAGCGAGCACGTTACCACTGGGCTACCAACTGCTTTACAAAGTCAACATATTATTTAAATATATTTCATTACTAAGGACATTATTTTTAATGACTAACGGTGGAACCGGTCATGTCGTCCATACTAATCTTGCTATTGACCCTGATTTGGTCCAGAGTGATATTGTGTCGTCTTTGCACTAGCATTTATTGTCAGCTTTACGTGCTTTCGAATTATATATTCTATTTAACAACATTTGTTTATGTTAATAAAGATATTTAATGAAATATGGTAATCTTTGGAATATATTTTTTTTTAATTTAATAGATATTTATATGAAATTTATTTTAAATTTAAATATGTATACAATAAAAATTTAATGACGCCTTTTAGTACTTTGTACTTTATAATTAGAATAATATGTTAATTTCTAGAAAAACAAGCTTGAAAGCTTCTACTTTCTTGAATAAAAAAGTATAAAATGAAGTCATTTTGTTATTTTAAAAAGTTTTATTACTATTATTATAAAATATTTTATCTTAACTAAAGCGATTTAGACCTAACTGCAGGAGGAATTAAACAAAATAATAAAATTTACCAGTCTTTATTATAAATATGTCTTACATTAACCTAGTTGAGACCTGACTTAACACAAACTTATAATATCACATGTACAGTTTCACCTCAAGCTGGACTATTACCTAGGCCCATGTTCATGGCATTCAAGAGATCACCATTATCAGCATCGATTTCCCAAGCAAAAAGTCCTCCTAACTTATTATTTCTCACATATTTACCCTTTTCGATAACAGACCTAGCATTATCATAGGTTATAAGATCTCCAGTAGATGGTCTGAAGACATATGGGGCTTGAGCAACGTTATCATATCGGAACTCCCATTTCCCTTGGGCAATTTCATTAGCAATTTCCCTATAATCTACTACTCCATCTTGCCAAGTACCTTTGACTGGTCCAGTAGCGTTACCTGTGAAAGGATTGTTATCTACGTAGTCATGGACACCGGTCCATCCACGTCCGTACATGGCTACACCTACTACAATCTTCTTAGGATTCACACCTTGAGCAAGCAAGTATTTCACACCGAAGTCAGTTGTGTATGTTTCCTTAGGGTTCCATTCAGGTGCATACAGTGGAGTTTGATGTCCTAGAGTGTCATTCGACCAAGCCCCCTTAAAATCGTAGCTCATCAAGAAAATGTGGTCCATATAATTCTGGGCTTTGTTGAAATCTACTACTTGGATCTTGTCCCAACCAGCACTGATAGCAGAAGTTAATTCGTATTTCTTTCCAGTTGTAGCTGAGAGGTCATCAAGCATTTCGCGTAATTCCTTCATTAACTTTACGTAAACATCTCCGTCTTCTGGGCTTCCAAGGTCAGGGTTAGCACCTTTGCCACCAGGGAACTCCCAATCAATGTCAACACCATCCCAGAATTTAAAAGTTTGAAGGAATTCTTTTACGGAGTCAATAAAGCAAGCCCTCTTTATGTCATCCTTCATGTAGAAGTAGGGATCGGAAAGAGTCCATCCACCCATGGAAGGAAGCATCTTCAGGTCAGGTCTAGTTTGTTTTAAGGACATCAGTTGACCAAAGTTACCTTTGTAGGGCTCATTCCATGAAGATAAGCCTTTCTGTGGTTTTTGCAAAGCGGCCCATGGATCATGAATAGAAACTTTAAAGTCTTCACGACCGCTACAAGAGCGCTGCAGCGCTTGGAAACTACCCTCTATTTCTTTCAAACTGTCATTTATACCGTCCCCGCCGCAAATTGGGATAAAACCATATAAAAGATGAGTTAGGTTTGGCACAGGAATGCGGTCTACAGGGAACTTTCTTGGATATACACCCCATTCTACGAAGTATGCAGCTACAACCTTTCCAGATGTCTGCTTGAAAGGTTTATTCTTCTCTCCCATTGTGTATTCTAGTGGAGGTAAATGACTTCCATCGGTATCTGCTACAATAATCTCTGTTGGATCACTCGAACTACATCCATCGGGGTTGCAAAGTTCCACTGTCATTTGATATCTTCCACCTTTCTTGACAGGAAAAGTGGCTGATGCTGCAGCACCGGACGCACCAGACCAGACTTCCTTTCCATCCAATAAAACTTTGGCAGTCTCCGCTGTATCTCCAGACCAAACATTCCAGGAAACGGACACATCTGCAGCTTCTTTACGTTTGACGAGCTGGTTATACGCTGTGGCTGCTTGATTGACTTCCACAATCGCAAACGTTCTCTCGCCCCATCCAAGTGTAGGCTTTCCGGGAGGCCCACATTCCGCTAGGCCGAGCAGGGCCGCGACCGCCAACGCCAACTGATGCCTCATACCGGTTCTAAAAAAATAAATACTAAACTAAAATATTGGTCGCGAACTTTACATTTAAGCGTTGGAAGCGTACTGAACATGCATCTCGATGGTATCTTTTATATATGGGAAGCATAGTAGGCCAACCGCTAGCACGAAGGAGTTTTCAATACGGATTCTCGATACCGATTTGAGATGCGTAATAAAAATCGTTAACACAGTTTCTTGTCCCGGTCACGTTAGTAGCGCGGTCAAGGTGACAAATAATTTTTAATTGTTTCAACTAATGATTTGTTTTCGGAAACCTTCTGAGGTAAAGTCAAGCCCAACTATGACTAAGCCTTTTGTCTCCAAAGTACATTAGAAGGGCATTCCTTTGTGCGTAATCAATATACAAATATAAAACGTAACATTTATTATTTTTTTAACAAATAATTAATTATTTATAAAAATGCTATATTATATGTATTCATTTAGTAAAATTGTAACTAATTGCTAACACTCATGTATACTCGTAGATATATGGAAGATATTTGAGAAAAACTATTATTGGGGGTCTTATTAAAGCAATAGAACTCAAAACAATGATTTTAAGAATTTTTGTCAGTTTGTATGTGCGTTTGTACGCGCTGATCTCAAAAACGGCTTAACCGATTTGGGTGAAGTTTTCATTAATGTATTATGGTAAGCTTCACTTAACATTTAGTATTTGTTTTATTCCAAACAGTTTATAAATAAAAAAGTAAAAGAGATGATAGCTCGTTATCCGGGTCAACATATAAGCTAATATCTCATCTCTGAGAAATTTATACTAAACGTTTAACATATATAAATAGACAAAGACAACAGTTCAGTACTTTTTTCTCCTCTGTTTGTTAACCGATTTTCTTTTTTATTTAGTAGCTAGTAAAAAATTTTGAAACAGTGAGTTTTTAATATAAATAGGCAAATTCTATACATGCATGTTTTCCTCAGTTTTAATTATGATTATGGTCGAAAATCGACTGGGTGAATACTTAACACGTTTACTGTGGATTGCACAAAATTAGCATCTCTGAGTTTATACTAAACGTTAAAACATAACTATACATAGACGACACGTTTGGCTCAGCTTGTAGCGACCCTACTTGCTGTGCCAGCGGTCGCGGGTTCGAATCCCGCTGGGGAAATTCATTTGTGGGACGAACACAAATGTTTGTACTCCAGTCATGGATGTTTATATTTATAATATGTATGTATTTAAATTTATATATGTGTAGTGTATCAACTATCTGGTATTCATAACACGAACATCGTAGCTTACCATGGAACCAGACGGTGTTGTGTTAATGTCCCAACATATTTATTATTTATTTATTTATAACTAGGTACAAACCCGATTAAGAATAACTTTTCCAGTAAAATATCACGTTTAAAACCATGATGATTCTATTTTTAACCGAATAAATTGAAATTTCGCAGTAATTTGAGCTTTACGATACCAAAAACTTAGAAAAGCAGTGATTCGTATCACTACACGTAATTATTATGGTCAGTACCAAAAATTCCCTTGTTCTTATACTTTAAGATGGAGTAAATTTTCAAAGCAAGTTTGAAATATGCTTTCCTATATTGAAACAGGTTGACGTACACTTAAATAATTTCGTTTAGTGAAATAAGTTCACAGATCCATTTTGAACCAAAAAAATATGTAAACAATAAAAAAATTCAATTGGAGCTTATTTATATCATTACAATTCTAACTCGGGTTCGATCTGAATACTCCGGATCTGCGACCATACATGCCCACTTGTATATAATCACTAGACTACCGAGTATTACAATAAAAACTAAAAAAAAAACAGACTTCCAGGCACTAAAATGTAAAAAATAACTAAACGGAGGTCTTCATTTAAAATAGATACCTAATCAGATATTTTCGAAGTCGGTACCAGCCGATACAAAGCAAATCTAATATATTTCGATACGTAAAATACAAATTTACCTATTAGATACTAACATCTTAAAATATTGTTTTTTATATATATATAAAAAAAACATACCGACGAATTGAGAACCTCCTCTTTTTTGGAAGTTGGTTATAAAGTAACCTATGTCACCGGTACGTACGTAGGTTTTGCAAAAATGATCTTTAATAAAAAAAACTTACAATCTTTCACACAAAAATTAATAATAAGTGAATTGAAGAATACATATAATTAATTAAAATAGCTTAATATTACCTTACAACTTGTTCACTTTCAAACAGCAATTCACAACAAGTATATTACAAACACTGATTTATAAATAATATCGATGATTTTAATATATAGATAAGATATACTTTCATAGAAGTGTTGATTAAACATTAAACGTGGAAAATTTTATTTCCTTATATATAGATTGTCTTTTTTAATCCCATAACTAAACTTCACATAATAAACAGTGAAATAATCTGATAAGATACTTTTATTTAATAAACTAGTGAGTTATTTTCCATTCACTCGGGTCTGTTGGTGCCTTTTTAGGGTTCCGTGCCCTAAGAGTGCCAACGAGACCCTATTACTAAGCCTCCGCTGTCCGTCAATCTGTAAGTAGGCTGTAACTCGTGAACCGTAGATAAAGAATTGAAATTTTCACAGTGTGTACTTCTATTGCCGCTATAACAACAAATAATTAAAAAAATAGGATGACGAATTTCATAATGGCCGCCATGCAAATTAAAAAAACGTTTAGTACCCTAGAACCCCTCATGTGCGACTTGCACTTGATGGGTTTTTTATTAATTATTAATTTTTTATTACGTACACAGCGCTACATTTAAGATAAATAAGTAACAAACATACACACATACAAACTTTCGCGTTATCTCTTTTTCATTGTCTCTATCTCATTCTCATTGTCCTATATCGATAGAGTCGATACCTTTACATGGTTTTCAAGCCATTTTGGCTATTATTAGTATTACTAATAACTAAACCTTTCACCGTTCAGACGTATTCCTAGGTCCCAAACAATACCTATGTGCTACTCGAACTCATAATTCATCTATGCACTAAATTTCATCCAAATTCGTCCAGCCGTTTTTCATCTAGAAGAAGTCTGAAGAAGTAATATACAGATTTTAAACTTTCGCATTTATCGAAATCGAATCGAATCGAATGTATGAACTCCATTAAACAAAATAATATTCATTTGGTAAAAGATCAAAACTAGATGATACATGTTCAGTTTGTAATATAGCATTGAATTGTTCAGAAATAGTGTGTACTACTGTACTAAAAGCAAAAGTTTCTCCTGGAATATGGCTTGTTAGTTAGTTTTATTTAAAACTAGTAGAACCCGCGGCTTCGCTTGCATTAAAACTACACAAATAAACTTTAAAAACATAGGTTTTGTACAAATTTTGATCCCCTATTTTACACCCTTATCGGATGAATTTTGAAAAATGCTAAAACATATATGTATTTAATTGTATTGATGAGCATTAATAATAACTTTTAAGTAATTCTGATCATAAAATTTTTTTGGTTTGTATTATAACGTGTTTTCCCATGGGAATGAGATAATCTCCCGCGGTAAAAATGTCACTGTCCAGCCTTTTAATAATCTCCACACAAAAAGTCACGCCAATCCGGTTCTCTGTTATGATGTGAAAGAACGACAGACAAACAAACAAACAAACAAACAAACAAATAAACAAACAAACAAACACACTTTCTCATTTATAATATTAATATGGATTACTGAAAAACTTTCCGTAATAAATGGTACGAGTTGCTTAATGCTAAATAACAAATATGTAATGACTTAATTGCGATTTGGAAATGTTTCTCTACTATTGTTTTAAAAACTCTATCAGACTACTAAGTATTGTAAATGCGAATGTTTGTATGTATGTATGTATGTATGTATGTTTATATGTTTGTTACTCCTTCTCGTTGAAACGGCTGGTTTGATTTGGATGAAATTTAGTCTACAAATGGACTATGAATTGAAGTAACACATAAACAAAGCCAAGCGAGACTAAGTCACTAATCTATACATACATTATCTATATAAAATTATAACTACGCCTAATCTGTACATTAAATATTTTTGGAAAAACTTATTGAAATAGACATTATTATCAATACAGAGGCCAAATCTATAGTTTTTAGAAATTTTGTCTGTCTGACTGTCTGTCTGTCTTTGACCGCAGTACGAAAAAACCACTGGACAGATTTTGATGAAATTTGGTATGGTTATCTGGGGCAACATATAGGATACTTTTTACTGCGGGAAAATATCTCATCTCTGAGCCAAACGTTAAAACATAGAGTAAACGTTAAATCGCTAGTTACTTAATAAATTACGTTATTCGTCGTAAACTCTAAAAATTCAATGCTCAACTTTAAAAGACTTTATAAACACAATGGCTCTCTTAGAACAACGGTGAGTAACATATACACAGATATATATTAACTTAGTACAATACCTTCTTTTTCCTCAAAGCAAGCAAAGTCAGGAGCTTTCACTTAAATTAAACGACAATTGAAATTACTAATACTTGTATAATAAGTGCAATACTTATTATGACTCTATCTCGCCCTCAACACAGAAATGTATTTGCTTATCATAACTATTCAATTTGTTTGACTACACAAGCGATAATTTACCTCGAAACGAACTAAATATTCTTATATATGCTAAAAATAGTACATTATATGTATAATATTTGTGTATGTATATATTAATATTTAACATTTTCATACATTTTGGTAGTAGTAAAATCCCGAAAGTATTCGAATTTTCAATTGTCATTAGCCACTTACTAGACCCTCCCTTCAGTCACTTCCTTAAGTGTATTTTTGAAGTTATACCTCTTTTGGGACGTTTGGAAAAATATGACAGTAAATTTTTTACCACCGACAGCCAAAAAGCGACATGATGAACTTAGCTGATATTGTTGCCTTGGTAACCGTTGTTATTGTCAGACAAATGATATATAACATTATATTCTTTCCTTAAATGAAATTCTATGAATATATGCCTAATATGCCTTATTTAATTATTTTATTAATTTATCATTCCCTTTACAAACAGAGTTGTGACATACGGGATGAAATCTTTAGCTATTTTTGTTCTGTTACGCCAAAGGAGTATAACTTCTTATGTGCGTACATAAGTACACACACACTTTTTTTCCATATATTTTATTGCTTTATATCAAACCGTTTCCTAATTCAACTAAAGCTATTATTACTTCTAACAGCAAACACATTCTTATCGAAATAAAAAATAGCATATGGCCCTCGACCATAATGTTTTCTATTAGTGAAATAATTTTCAGAACCAGATCAGTAGTTTCAGAGGTTATGCCCAACATACAAACTTACAAACTTTACCTCTTTATATTATTATAGATAACGATTAACAAATCATTTCAATAGTATTTAAAATTTAAAAAAACATATCCTTTTTTGATCTACAGAACAAAATTATTTAAGCCCATACTGAAGGTTTTAGTAGCGATAGAAGAGTTCCAGTTTCCATCCTTCTATTTTACACTAGCGACTCACCCTCGCTTTGCTCGGGTCTCTAGGTACGTTGTAACGGTTACAATGGAATAGATAGACTTTATATACATTCTACATAGGTATAGAAAAGTAGGTAAGTATTTAAAAAAATTGAACTCATCCCCTATTTTACCCTGATCGGTCCTAAACGCCAATTTTTTTTATTTTTTACCCAAATTACAGGATGTAATAAATTTTTTGTCCTTATCTTGAGATATGATTTGTTCCCAATACAAACCCCTATTTCACCCCTTTCAAGTTTCATTTTGTGACCAAAAGTATCTTATGTCCTTCTCCAATGTCCTATTCCTGTCTATACCTAACTTTATCAAAATTTGTTCGGTGGTTTTAGCGTGAAAGTGTAACAGACAGACAGAGTTACGTTCGCATTTAATATTAGTATGGATATTCATCCGAATTGCTTACGAAGTTTCAAATCCATTCGACAATTACAAGCAGGTTAAAATCGACTCAAAATTTGATAACAAAGTTAGTTAAGATAATGAAAACGTGTCAAAATTACGAATTATTTTGTTATCACTCGAAGTACAATTGTACTATATTTTGATAATTTTAACTCATTTAATATTACGTGGCATCAACGCGGAAACTGACAGGATAGATTGATAATTTCGAAGTAACAATATGATTTTAAGGAAAATCTATACTTATTATAAAAATAAGTCCCCCGGCCGCGTCTTTCTGTCCTCCTGTCTGTCTGTACGCGATAAACTCGAAAACTACTGAACGGATTTTTATACGGTTTTCAACAATAGAAAGAGTAATTCTTGAGGAAGGTTTAGGTATATAATTTATTATGCTTTTATGTAAATTAGCTGAAATACGGCGACAAATGTTGAAGAGGTCGCAAAAAATCTCGCCAAATGGGAACTTTCCACGCGAACGCCGCGTAAACTAGCAAAGATACAGTTAAGTAATGTACTAGAGAATTCAAAATCTATAAAAATGCTACAAAAAAGTCCGCGATAGCATATCTCTATATCTTACGGTTGACTTACAATAACCACTTTTATGTTAACATTTTTAATTAAAAACATTACGTTATTTTCAAAGTTATTTTCTTTAGTTCGGTATTAATCCTTATCCAAATGAATATTTTAGTTAGCTTAGTCATTTAATGCAGATTAAAATTGCTCTTTACACTAAATCAATCAGATGAATAGTTTTTGAGATATCGTTGTTAGAAGTAATTAGTAGCGAAACATTTTTAATGCTTGGCGAGCATTGAGATGCCTACGGCGAGTCCATCCCCTCTGCCCCGCATCGCTCGACCGCCTGCTCAAGCTATATAAACCGGGCGATGTAGCGCGCGATCCTAGGATACTTTTTACCGCGGGAAAATATCTTATTTCTGAGGAAAAATACAAAAACTGCAATGTAAGAGTATACTACTAATATGTAACACCTAAGAATTTAGTTTTTGGTCATCTGAACGCGGGCGGAGCCGCGGGCAATGCTAGTATTATATAAAATTTAAATACACCTTAAGTTTTGTAAATATGTTGAAACATTAATACACATCACCATTTAGTTCCATGGCAAACTACGAGGCTTGTGCTATAGATACCAGATAGTTGATACATTACACATATATAACTTTAAATACATATATATTATTATAAATATAAATTGCTCAACACACAAATGCTAATCTCAGGAACTACTAATCCGATTTGAAAAATTCTTTTTGCATTAGATAGCCGGTTAACTGAGGAAGGCTATATATCATCCCGGTAACATGTATGGTTCCCGTGGGATAGACTTGTTTTTGTCTCGGAAAAACCCGAAGCGAAGCGAGGGTGAGTCGCTAGTATTCACATAATAATAATAGGTAGTAAAATCAGTTTTTAAATCAAAATAAATTTTTTAAAATATACATTAATTCAGTCGATTTGAGAGCCTTAATTTAAAAAGATTAAAAGCAAATTATATACATACATATATAGCAACTTTCCTGGTGTTTTATCGTCTACAATGTACGTGTCAACGACCTGAACTTGAAAGACGGCTATTGTATGCTAATGTGGCCCCAGATACGAATGCATTGTCACTTTTGTTTGATGACATATTATCAAATTAAATTCCTTCATTTTTGACCGACTTTGAAAATAAGGTGTGGATTTATTTTGATTTTTGGTTCCCGAAAATCTATCTGTCCAGTAGTTTTTCCGTGATGCGGTCACAGATATACAGACAAACGGACAGAGATACAAAAATTCTAAAATTTTTATTCAGGAAATCATCCCTTAAAGAGGTGAAAATGGGAATGAAAATTTGTATGGGGAATCAACCTAGGGACAAACCCGAGCGGAGCGAGGGTGAGTCGCTAGTAAGATTGCTCACTAAAATAAGGTAGTTTTGTTATCATTTATACGCAGTCTGTACAAAAGTATGGCTACAATAGAAAGAGTTTTTTTTTTAGATTTTAGAGTTCCGTAGCCAAACGGCAAAGACGGGACCCTTATAATTTTACGTCTGTATATCGTTATTTTTATTTTTGTGCCCATTCAAATGCGTGTTTTTGTTATGTCAGGTATTGTTATATTTCATAAAGATTTTTTTTAATTTCGCCACAGATTATATACTACCAGTATTCCATTCAATTCACCTATTTTTGTCAATTTTAAGTTAAAATCTCATATATTATTTTAAAATCATATATTAAATTTTGAGGTCTCGACCCGTTTAACGTGTTACCTGATATTTCTAGTAAAATAGTAAAATTCATGAATCGTGATTAAAACGATATTGACAAATAATTTATAAATGTCACATAATGTCGAGGATTACTCGACCTTTTGTAACGTATTGTTGTACTATTAATTAGTGTTATTAACATTATATGTATATAAAAATCAATACTTCAATATTATATATATATATATATATATACATATATATATATATTATATAGAAATATTATAATAAAATTCTGAGTCGAATCTGTACATTAAATACTTTTTGGAAAATCTTATTGAAATAGTAGTTTTTAGAATTTTTGTCTGTCTTTCTGTCTGGGAACACATCACGAGAAAACCACTGGACAGATTTTGATGAAATTTTGTATGATTATAGCTGGTTATCCGGGTCAACATATAGAATATTTTTTTTTATTTTACTGCGGGAAAATATCTCATCATTGAGAAATCTTATAATCTAAGAGAAAGAAAATTAGGGATTGCAGCATACACAGTATCGATGAAATGCAAGTAAAAGTGCAAAAGTGCTAAAGAAATCGTTTTTTTATGATGCAAATAATTTAATTATATTATCTCAATATACATATTACAGTTTAAAACTGCAAACAATGTAGCTTAAACCGAAATAATACGAGTAATCTTACGCTCTCAATCGCACGCTCTCTGCGCCAAAACACAGAATCCGCTTAAAGTTATTGACTGATTGTGGATTATAAATGCCTTAAAAAATATATATACGAGTCTAACCTGAAAAGTATAACATTGTAACATTACGTTACTAATGGCTTTTGATTTTGAATTTAATATATGCGAAATTAGTTTATTTTTTTAGTTTTTTTTAATTGTTTTTTTTATATAATCACAGTATAGAGTTACAATATAAATAAATAAATATCTTGGGACATTAACACACAGCACCATCTAATTCCATGGTAAGCTACGAGGCTTGTGTTATTGATACTAGGTAGTTGATACACTACACATATATAACTATAAATACATATACCTATAATATAAACATAAACACTCATGACTGGAATACAAACATTCGTGCTCATTACACAAATGAATGCCCAGAACGATTCGAACCCGCGACCGCTAGCACAGCAAGTAGCTTTAGATACTCTAAATTAAGAGCAAAGCTTTGAACTATTCTAGTTCAATAGCACGTGGGAAGAACTGTAAGTGCAGCAAAATGAAGCTGTACAATAATACGAATGGAATATAATCATCTGCATGAGATAAAATCTTTAACGGTTATTCCACAACGGTAGTATAAACTAGATCTGGGATAAAACCCCTTTCACATTGAAGTGACATATCGATATATAACTCAAAACAACTCACTTAGAACATACCTATGTATAAACAATATATATATATATATATATATATATATATATATATATACTTTTTATTTATTATTACTCTCATACCCCGGTGGGACGACCATTCGACACGACCGGTGAGAGTTAAGGCGCAGGACCGACGGCTTTACGTGCTCTCCGAGGCACGGGGGTGAAACACCGCCAACTTCCCAACTCCGGGCTGTTACTGAGACTTTCTATACAGAAAGACTTAATAACTAAACTTGGCCCGACCCGGGACTCGAACCCAGGACCTCCGGGTGTGCAGCCGTACATGCTAGCCACTACACCACCGAGGCAGTTAACTATATATATAATATATATATATATATATATATATATATATATATATATATATTGTGTAATGAGCACGAATATTTGTATTCCAGTCATGAGTGTTTATTTTTATAATATGTATGTATTTAAAGTTATATATGTGTAGTGTATCAACTATCTGGTACCCATAACACAAGCCTCGTAGTTTACCATAGAACTAGATGGTGATGTGTGTTAATGTTACAACATATTTTTTACATATGTTTACTTTAACATTTATCTTTACTTTAAAAACACTTTTTATCTGAAAGGAACACGATTTCAAAATGATTTTAAATGAATAATTCAATTTTTCCTTAGAATCTTGTTTTTTAAATCGATATCAAGTAACATATACAACAGAATCGTACACAAAATTGATTATTTATTATATCTATAGAAAAACAGCTTTAATTCTAAAGCTCAATGATGGCGTTCACTGGTTCGATTCTAATTGGGAACAAATAAATAGATATATAATATAACAAGTAACTTAGTGTGTCACTGTTGGCCACATCTTTTCCGCGACAATAAATATGATTTAGTTGTATGTCTCTGGGCTACTAGTTAGGGTTCGGGTGTTTTATTTTTATTATTTTTATATAGGTAGGTAACATATAATATATCAGCAAAACCCGCGGCTTCGCTCGCGCTATAACTATAAGAAAAACTTAAAAAAGGTAGATTTCATACATATTTCATTCAACTTTCATCCCCTCTTTTACCCCTCTATTGGAATGAATTTCGAAAAATGCTAAAACGCTTTATTTTATTGTATTGAAAAAGATTAATATCAGGCTTCAAGTATTTTTTTGGGTTGCATTATAACGTGTTTTCCCGTGGGAATGAGATAATCTCCCGCAACATAAAGTAGCCTTTGTCACTTTCCAGCCCTCCAAATATCTCCACACAAAAAATCATGCCAATCCGTCACTCTGTTTTGAAGTTAAAGGAAAAACAAACAAACAAACAAACAAACAAACAAACAAACAAACAAACAAACAAACACACTTTCACATTTATAATATTAGTATAAATGTTGTCTTCAAATTTTCAATAATAATGTTTATTCTAGTTATGTTAATTTAAACTATCAACTTCTTCATAATTATCTTCTACATATCTACTTATCTTTAAACACAAATACTCGTAATAATACTATTTTAAATAGCCTCATATGTGATTTAATTTATTATTATTCATACACAACAAAACAATGTGATGTCCTTGTGGCTTGTGCCATTGGTATTTACACCCTATTACGACATAGATCGTGGATTCGAATCCCGACGTTTTAAATATTAGTTTATGCTACAAATAATAGTTTCCCCCGGGATAAACCATGAATGAAAATTATATTGGTATTTTTCTGGATAAGTTCAATATTTAGCTAACATTTTCGGGCTTTTCTCGCTTTCTGGCTTTTATAGTCCTCTGGCGTTTTCTATCGACACTACCCGCGTCGGTTCATTTTGTAAAACTACGCCAAGTGCGGGTTGGGGGACTTCACTTGTCTTTGGAAAACTTGCCAGGTTCTCTCAGACATGCAGGTTTCCTCACGATGATTTCCTTCGTCGTAAGACAAGTGGTAATCATGTTGGAAATGATTCGTACATGAAAATATCAGAGATGCAAGACCCGGGATTTTAACCCGCTTCACTCGGTTTCCCAAGCGAGCGTGTTATCACTGGGCTACCACTGTCTAGACAATTGTAGTCATATTGAAAAAAAATCAAATAAATACATTGGATTTGAATTAATTTAAAAATATTACATATGTTAGATTATTATATAGGTTATTTTAAACTGTAATTTTAAACCTAGTCACAGTATCCAGAGGTTATGATCTAGAATAACTAATATAAGCTACTTCTAGACAAGTAGGGTTGTTCCCGAACCAAGTAAGGGTAAGCTGCTAGTATATTACCAAAACTTATATGATGATAAAAATTCGGTCCCAAATAAAATTAATATTTTAAAAACAAATTTTGCATAAAATTATGAAGACATCGCTAATGAATTTACGTTGAAATGTATTTTTTTGCAAAAATAAACAACCAATACATTCCGAATGCAGTTTCATTTCTCTAAAGGTCAATGTACAAGTTTATGAATAACAGAGCTTGTTAAATTCTGGACCGTAAAGAATAATAAAAAAGACTTTTTTTTAATACTAGTAACGGACCCTGGCTTTGCTTACGTTTTGTCCCTTTGTAAATAGAAGCTAATGTATGTCACTCTTGAGGCCTCCCACTATCTCCTTACAAAAAACCATATCAATCGAAATTCGCAAAATATGAGTTTAGTTATAATATGTTTTACCATGAGAATGATATATGTTCTTGAGGTAAAAGAAGCTTATGTCATTCTCCTGAGGAAACCTGCATGTCTGAGAGAACCTAGCAAGTGTGGAGTCCGCCAATCCGCGCTTGGTCAGCGTGGTGGAATATTGCCCTCTCATTGAAAGGAGGCCCGTGCCCAGCAGTGAGACGTTAAAAAGAGGATTACGTGTAAATCTCTAGCACTTCTACAAATCTTTTAATAAAAAAATCCCATAAACCTGTTTGCCACGTTTAATCTAGAAAGTAGACAAACAAACAAAGTTTCAATTTTATTATATTTATATACTCGTATCATAATATAAGGAAGAAGTTTTCAATTTATGTAATATTTTATTTTAGGATGTAAAAGGTATATTCGAAAATTGTATACTAGTATTAATAGTCTTAAGTTTCGATTTCGAGAATGATACGAGTATATTTCCAATTAAAGAAGGAACTTGTTTTTTAAAGTAAGCTTTAGTTCCAAAAAATATTTCACAATCCAAATTCGAACTCCCAACTACTTAAAAAAGAAGAAATATATTGCATTAAAAGATAAAAAAAAAACAAACAATACAGATATCAATGTGCTCAAAGATGTTTGTCTCTAAAAGAGATCTCTTCCAGCCAACATGTGGAAGTTAGAAAAAATATTACGCAAATTGACACAGTCTAAGAAGAAATTATAGAAAAGGCGACATTAAAAATGAAATAATTATAGGAATTAGCCAAACAAACCAGCGCCAAAACAATTTCCTGCCTTGAAAAATTGGATTAGATTGGGTTTGTATAGTTTTTTTTTTATAATAAAATGAATAAAGAAAAGTATTAAAAAGTTGACTAGATATTATATTCCTTCATATATATAAATAGAATCTACTAGTATTAAGTAATATTAAGAAAGCCCTCTGAAGGGTCGATTTTTGCCAAATTAATTCACATAAAAAACCAGACTTATTTTCTCAAAATGTACATAATTTTAAATCTATACAATACGCAGAATACCGCTTTTGATTGGTGAAAACCATATCAAAATCCGGACAGTAATTTTTGAGAGTAGCCCGAACAAACAGAAGCCCTGCGCTGATTTATATATAATGATTATTTAGTACTATAATATGTATTATAAATCAAAATATTGTTTGTTTTGTTGGTTTGAACGCGGTTCTCTGTATCTATCCGTTACATTTCAAATTATTTTTACATTTTATTGCCTATTTAATATAGGCTATCTAACATCACACTATAACAAAAATAAATAAACGACACAAACAAAATCGCGAGCAAAACATAGGTATTTAAAAACAAAAAATATTTTTTGGAATTGCAAATATCAAACAAATAGTTGTTTGTTATTTGCAATTCCAAAACTTGATGACCCCTGATCTTGAACCAAAACAGTTCAAAACAAATTCTCCTCAAAATCAAATATCAATTCTATTCAATTGGAATAAGGTTAATTTTGCAATATCAGGTAAATACCCTGTTAAAAAAGAGCGTTGGCTCCTTCGTGCTCTCGATGAAGGGACAAATAACAGTATATTTACAGTTAAAAGGTACTTTAAAATCCACACTTTATCTAAATATATACGCAGACACTTCGCTTACATTGTCAAATGATACTTTATGAAATTATATATAAATTAACATACAGTTATTGCAATGTTTTGAAAAAATAAAACGGATTTTACTAAGTAATAAACACTAAGTTTTTACGTTTCACCTCTTGATACACTAAAATATTTGACTTTTTGTTATTTTTGACTGCTTAGTTCTAATATAAGTTTAAACTTACAAGTTAAAGTTAACTCGTCTCACGCGATAACTCGACTAATGCTACAGGCACAATGTATCCAGGAAAACTGCACAGTATGGCTCCCAAGGGCCTGCATTTGTATTGCGTGCGCGCCTAGAGTTCGCGGGTTATAGCACGGTACAGTGTTTGGTGCGACTATATTTATATTGAATAATTGAATACTATTTCGTATTTAAAATGCAAAGTGCGTTCATTAGTTTGGTGAAGTGTTTTTTAACTTACAAAACCACATGTTATGTGGTGATTTACAATACTAAGAATTTTTGGGAACTTAAAAAGAATGACTAATTTATAACTAAAAATTTTAACTTGCATATGTAGTAAAGAGCATTTAAAATTCAATATTAGATTTGACATTTTATGAAGGCATGCCTACCATTTTCATTTATCCTTAAAGTTAAATCATAGATGTATGCGAACTATGCGAACTGAAAATAATCCATTTATTTTTCTAGAATGACCGTTATTTACGCCACGAGCCACGGAATGATAAAAATGTGCCAATATATATATAAAGTATTCTGTTGACTGTCCGACTAATAAACTAAGCAAAAAATCGACTTGAAATCATTTAAAAATTATACTATCAAGTATAATTATTACTAAAACACTTTCATTGATACTATTTTAAAGC